TTTTGTGAAGTTGGGCGTCTTTGGATGCAGTGCTTATGACAAAAAGAAGTAGTGTTGTGCAGGTTCTCGACTTCAATTGGTTGGTATTTATAAAAGTATGAACCTCAATCTTCCAACCTTCTCATGCGATTGGCAAATGGATAAGACTGGGAATCAAATCGTAAGAAAGAGATGAAATGAAATCTTCTATTGTTGAATCTTCTTTGGTATGAAATCGTATGTTTTAGGTTTGTGAACGGTGAATCGATTATAGATCTCTCGAGTCCACAGCGGTGAATTTGGCGACAAATGAAGGAATAGTCGCAAGTTCGGTGATACAAAGGCAGGAAGCCGTCACTTGGCGAGTTATATGGGAGGACGAGTGAGATTGGTATGGAACATCAATAAGGATCGTGATATCGTCGTTCTTTTCGCAGTCGTGAGAGATGGATAGAATGGCAGAAAAAAGATTCGAAGCTTTCGAATAGTGACGCGAAACCAGACGTGTACAAGAAGTGAGGAGTGGACGAGAAAAAGTAAGGAAAGCAAGGTAAAGCAAGTACTGGGTACTTTTCTGTAGCGTTTTAGTGTTAAACCCAAGGTTACATGGAGTATGCAGAGCTGCAGCGCGGGAGCTTATTGGAATATGCAACAGAGGGGTGATAAAAGATAGAAGAGCGTTCTGTTCTATGAATGGAGGAAAGCAAAGAGCTTACTTACTGTATAACTCTGTGAGTGCGGATATGTCCTACAACTTTCAAATCAACCATGCACTTCCTCTCTCGGCTCTCGACTCATGGGGTTGGGTGATTGATGGGCGATGGGCGATGGATGATGGGTGATGGGTGAAGGATGATGGGTGACGGGTGATTGTGCGACCAGGTTGCAAGGGGAAGGCAAATGTACCGTTGACCTGAACAGGGTAGATGATTGATTCGTGAAGGGTGGTGAATGAGTGGACTTTTTCGTTACCAGTATCGGGATAGTTGGTGGGTCGAAAAGAGAGAGAGAGAGAGAGAGAAAAACAAAAGGGACTACTCGGTACCTTGTAGATTATGAGTTATCTGTCTAGGGACGAGGGGACGAGGGGATCAATATGGTAAAGAACGAAATGCAGAACATACAGAAAGTGGCATGGTAATTTAGGATGTTTAATTCTTGATTTTTTTCGCTTTGATTTTTTATTTCTCCTATCAATGACAAGAGATGATATAATAGTTACCATACCAATGATACCATGTATTTACCACCCTCCACCGTCGCCTATCTAACCTGGACCCAGTCCTCGTAGTTGATTCGTACTCGAGTCTCGAGAATGGAAAAAACTTTAAAGCTCGGAACTTTTGTCTCTCCTGGGTATTTTGGGGAGGGAATTGTGATATTATTATCTTTCTACGCCGCAAAGATGTCCTTCCTTCTTTCGCTTTTTCCCGTGGGCCTACTCCGTCGGAGGAAGTGTGTGGATAAGTTAACTTCCCTCACCGGGACTCACGAAGAATCTGGAGGAAGACAATATAAATGGATGATTACTTCGGGGATAGTGTGGAGCATCTTGGGCAATCTCTACTATCTTGGGAATCTATTGAACCTCCAGGGCTATCCTCGCTACCCTAGATATCCTTATCGAAATTGATCAAATTTGGGCAGGAACTACTAGGTAGGCTTGGTGGCTCGGTGGGTAACTAGAGGTAGCTCGGTAGGTAGGACAAGACCTTACTTACGCGATAGAGACAAGAGGGATGAAGGGGAAGGAGCTGGGTCGGTAGACTTTGATTGGTCAATGGTATGGCATACTTATCCGGAGACGATATCGTACACCCGGGAGGGAAAAAACGATAAAACGATAAAACGATGGAATGATATAACGATATAACGACATAACGACATAATCGTCCTCTGGTGTGGTAGGATTCATTGTACAGAACACAATGGAACACCATTCACTGAAGATATATCTACATCCAAGATTTCGAATATTTGGTTCCGTTTGCTTTTATCAATTAGATGATATGATGCTACTTACCACCTAATCAGTGTGCCATTTCCGAATTTCGATTGCTTTTGTCATTTAGGAAGAAATACTTCTCAACACACACCCATCTATGGAAGATCTCACTTAACCCCAGGCCGCATCCTCCAATGAATGATCCAGACAGAGGCGTACTAATAATAAGCCCTTCACTAACCCCAGATAAAGGTGCGTACAATCATACACCATGTATGCCGGTACTTTTCTGAAAGGATGTTCATGAATCGATATCACTTGCATGGTGATATAGCCTTTGGACCTTTGCACCCACTCGAGCCACTATAAAACCGTGTACGTTTTGGTAGCATGGCAGCATGTCAGCTATCAAACATGTCTTGTGAAGAAAGAGTTAAGTACCTACGCTATAATATTTGCTTCAAGGCTACTTGCTTCTAATACACTCTCCAAAGCTTCCTCTCCCCCATCCTAGCTCTGAAATGGACTGGTTAGACACAGAATGTGAAATACCGTTTGATGATTTCAGCCCCACCCGGCACACTCGACCTAACCTTCATGTCTGTCTATGTGATTGATCTCATATCGATAATAGGTTCACCAAACTCTGGCAAAATTACCCGTGTGAGGGGCAATATTAAAAGAAGCTCAGGGGTTGAAAGAAGCACAGGGGTCACAAATGAGAAAACACCCAATCCGTGCCATACTTACAAGGTAGGAGACGTTTTCGAATCTTTTACATTTCCCCAAGGCTTTGAGTGATCACAGGAAATGGTTCAAGAGTGGGAAGTGTATTTGATACATATGGGGTAGATGGCGAATACCTACAAACAATACTGTAAGTTGCATTTTGCTATGACACCATGATATAACATACCACAATGGATTTTCATTTCGTAAATGCTTAGATATTTACCTAATCTGAGTCGAAAGTTTAAACTAAAAGCATTTGATTGTTGAATTTGAGTTGAAACATTCAAAACTTTCAATGATCAAATTCGAATTAGATCATTGATTATGTGTGAGGTTTACTTGATATCCAACTTATTTCTTGCATCGCATGCTTATTTGCACGCAACAAGCCCTGAACAGGAGAGAAATTGACGACCCCCGAGACCTGAGCACTGTTCATTCAAAATGCTCCGCTGCTGAACATGCAGTAGTGAACTCCACCCATTGGTGATCTCCGCATTTGATATAAATTTTATTCATTATATGGAGCTTACCAAACTTATGCCAGTCTAGACCAGGGAATGTTTCTCCCTGTAGATTTGAAGAATCTAATTCCATCTTGAGTTTCAAACAACAATGATCGCGAAGGATGAAGATCGACCCACGGTATACCAGATAGACTTCAGATCCTTCATGGAATGTTTATAATGCGCGTACGCCCCTCCCAATGCTCCTGGTATCGAAGACTTCAACTAAGCCTGCGCCAACACACTCTGCTAATATCCATTCGAACGAGATTCCATAAAACTGCTTCCATTTCCTAGTTTTGCCGGGAAGAACGCCAGAGAATTCCCCTCTATGCCTCTTTGCCGCGCTGGTTCCTTCGTCTGTTTCGATTCCACCATCCCACCGCTGCCGTAGAAGAGATTCGGGTGCTTCACGATACTTCGATTTGGACAGCAAGGACATGAGGTGAGCACGGGCATTACCCAACAGTTTTAAAAATTGTCCTGTTGCCGGGAGTGAAAAGGTGAAATCACCCTTTCCCGACAATCGAGCACCGCCTCCGCTTCCCCCAGAAGCATGAACAGCCCCTTCACCACCAACGGCAGCTAGAGATCCGGAACCTGCCCTTGAAATACTGTCTAGCGAAGTGAGCGTTCCTTTTGAACCGTCACCTGGCCTCGAGAAATGATCTGTGACTGTATAGTTGGTCGCTGACGAGGTAAGGAACCCAGCGTGGATAAATTCGTGGGCGCTTTCTTCCGTGAAATGGGATCTAGGAAACTTCAGCGCGGTAGGGTTTTCACATAGTAGCTTCTTTAAGTCCTCTTTTGAAGAAGCTTTGAGGTTGCTTCTCTCTATCATGATCTCTAAATCCTTCACCAATATCAAAAGTTCCCCAAGGCTTCCTCTTCCACCGACAACAACTTTTCTTATCGCCCCTCCACGTACTAATTCTACAATCTCTCGTTCAACAGCAGTAGGAGAGTTTAGTAAAGCTTGAACATGTGAGACAGTAACAACATTTGGTAATGAATCCCGGTAGTTGAGGACCTCCGCGATTCGTGTTGAATTCATACCACTCCTCTGCACTGGCATATGGTTCCACATCCTACCCTTGATATATTGAATGGCTTGCGCAACATCCCGCAAGGCGAGATCTGTTGCAAGAGCTTTGACCAAACCTACATCATCAAGCTTATCATCAAAATAGTCCTCCTCCTCCTCCTCTTCATCATCATCATCACAGCCTGCTTTCGATTTCGATCGTCGTAGAGGCTTTCTTTTGGGCAGGGAAGAGAAGGGGGAGGATGAACTTCGCTTCAATGATGGGGTAGACTTCTTGATTCGACTGGAGAGTGCAGCAGAACGATATAGACTCATGGTTGGAAGAGATCAAAATTCCGTACTGCGTGATGATAAAGTTGAAAGAAAGACAATTGCCACTGCCTACTTCAACATAATTAGGTACATAGCCTGTCCTGCCTCCTTGCTTATCCTTATCGGTAAGCCTCGCAGCTAGCCTTTATATGCACGGAATAGAAGATATATAAAGCAAACTTACTCTTTATAATATGTAAGATAAATTGAACTATTAATTAGATCTTTTATGCAATTTAACTTTTGAATCTCTCAAATCTCTCAAATCTCTCAAATCTCTCAAATCTCTCAAATCTCTCAAATCTCTCAAATCTCTCAAATCTCTCAAATCTCTCAAATCTCTCAATAAGAATTTATATATCTAAAAAGAAAATATTAGTTTGATATTTTTAAATATATTTTGCTATATGTAATTAATTTTATTCAGGATTTATATAATTAAAATCGACCTCTTTTCCTATATAGAGATCAGCAATCGGAGCATAGCTGGCCGATATCGATGACTAACATCGCATGCTATGCTACTACTACTCCACTGTCCACGTACTCACCACATCAACATTCACTGCTTCTTCTTCATGACTGAATGGGTAAACAACATTGCCTTGTTTACCAACTATATATACCTACCTACCCATCTTTCTATTCACGAGATAACCTAGCATACAAATTCTTCTTCACCTAATTTACTTGAAGCTTATACTCATCTTTGAGTTCCTTGTGTGCACCTCACCAATAATATCTAGCAATACCTATTCAAATACTCTTTGATTATCGTGTTGCAAAATGCCTCCAACAATCATTTTGATTAGGCATGCACAAGCACTCCACAGTCAGTCAACAAGACTCAACTACATTACGGTTTCTGGCTAACATTGCACAAGATGTGTCTCATAAGTCATCCTGTAATATAATTTGTGACCTGGGCTGATGTTTTAGGGCACGCAACTATGAGCTACATGACCCGGCGTTGACCGATCTTGGCTTCGGGACACAATGTGACGAATTGGCTCGTCATCTCGAGAATGAGGTTCCACTGGCTCGGGAAATTGATCTCATTGTGGTGAGCCCCATGAGACGGACTTTGCAAACAGCACAGCAAGGCCTGGGCTGGTTGATGAAGGGTGGTGTTCCCGTTATCCTTCGACCTGAATGGCAGGAGAACTCAAACAAGCCATGTGATACAGGAACGCCCATAGAGATTATGGAGAAGGAGTGGCCACAATTTGACTGGTCAGCTGTTGATCCACTGTTTCCAGAAAAATCTGGTCTGTATGAGTTTTCGAAGGATGCTCTGATAAGACGAGGAATTACCGCTAGGAAATGGTTACAGCAACGCCCAGAGAAGGTTATTGCTGTAGTTTCTCATTCGGCGTTTCTTCGGACTTCCGTCAGCTACAGGCAATATGAGAATGCGGACTACCGAATTTTCGATTTTGCTGGTGGCGATAGACAAGAAAAAGCTGAGCTTGTGGAAAGGGAAGTCACCGAATCCAGGGGCGGAGGGTTAGGGAAGAGCCCAAAGGGAGTTTTTGGAATGACCGATGATGATTGTCCTAGTGAGATTGAGAAGGTCATTGGAGAAGCAACAACTGAGGTTCCAAAGTAGCTCAGGTGTGTAAGCTCAAGTCGAAGGAAGTTATGCATTGCTAAGATGATGTTGAAGATCAATCATCCTCCGAACCACCTGATTCATCCAACCTTTGAAAGTATGACTCGCTACTATAATCTTATACCCAAACAAATCTCCTGTCCGAAATATGTCATTCAAGCTACCAGTGCCCCAATTATCCGACCATATCTAAACAAGGAAGTATACCTAGCATTCCTGGAACGTCTCAATCATTTCTTGAGACAATTCTTGTGTTCTGTTAGCAACGTACTCGTAGATCCGAAGCTGTGACTAGCCGAATTTCTTCTCGTGATCTTTCTTGGCTTCTTTGTATACTCTTTCTACTTCTCCATCTCTCTTCCTAGTATAACATCATTCTAGTCATGAGAAATGCCTTTGAAGGAATTGGTATTTTCCATAGGCGTCGAGTCAGCTACTGTGAACAATTCATACTTCAAGAGTATCTACGGTGGGGGTAATAATTTTCCACTCTGTCCCATGCCGCATTGAATAGCTGAGAGTGGAATATCTGATCGTTTTTCTACTGGACTGATAGGACGATAATCTATGTCATGAAAAGATTCTCTCGGGGTCATATAAGAAAGATAAGGTAGTAATCATGATCAGCGACCTCGAAAGGATTGAAAAGGGGGGGGTCTAATATTTCATTATTTTACTAATAATGGAAACCAAATCAAGGCCCCTCATTCAATTATCGCATAAGATAGTATCTCTTCTCATTATATCGTATGTATCTCTCCGTTTATTCGGAGTAAAATCAGATTCCTTATTATGTTATATCTATATTCCGAATTGTTCAATTTAACGTTTAATAACGTTCAAAGATATTTCTAATTTCTCCGTGCTGACTCTCTCTCGAGTCCCAACTCTGCATTCAGGCAAGATCATCGATATGACATATCATGTGACTTGGCTACAATGACAGAATATGTAAAGATTAACTAAACTAGACCACCAGAAAGCTACATTAGATATCAATGACGGAAAAAGCATAGAAAGCCGTGCGCCCTGTATCGCAGCATTTAGTGGATCGGGAGATTGTGAACATCTGTGAAGTTATGTCATTTACAAGCAAGAAACAGGAATATGAACACTTTTCTACAATGTTATGTGTGGCTGGTGCCTTTGATGATGCAAGTAACCACGAAGATGGAGAATCTAGAGCAATCTACGAATGCTCAATCATCCTTCCGTTAATCAATCGCCATGCGCCTGTTGATTCGAGTAACGTCATTTTGATCGATTTCTCCCCAGAACAATGGAATAAACACTCCGGGTTATGGAAATCGACGTTGGACAATCTTGTCATCTCATTGACTCCCTCTGAGGGATGTTATGTCATACCTCGGACCTGTATCTTGAGATGTTGTGTCAAGACCTAAGGCAGTGCTCTACAGGGAGGCGACAACCGGCGTAGATCAATTGGCCAAGGTTGTCGTGTTTTCAGCCGTGGCTGACGTCCTTTGTCATGGACTGATACACCCATAAGTTGTTCGTCCAATGGTCAACCAATTTTGTGGATTCGATGACCTTTTAAGAGCAGAATTGGGGGTGAACAAAAGTTACTGCAGTATGGAAAAGATGGGAAGGAATAGGAAGGAATCCCAAGACTTCAGAGGGGGTTGTATTCTGAGTAAGTTTTTGTTCTATGTATGCCAGATTACATGATATGTTTACCTCAGTGTGTACACGCATTGTCTGGAGATAGTCACGCGATGGACGAAATAAGTTATATTACGCAAACTTTGCATTATAGTACTTTTGAATGATCTCATCCGGTATTTGACAATCAATACTCGAGGGTTTGGGAAACCAGTTTTGGTGTGAGGCTCGGTTGTTTCATACAGATGAGGTGGTAAGAATTCGATATTCCTATCTAGCTAGTCATTCGACAATACTCACACAAGATTCACACAAGATTCATCAATCTTTAACTGATGGATGTAGGCAAATATGGTACTCTGAGGCTCGAGTGCCGAGAGTTCAGAAGATTTATATCTGTGGCGAGGTGAACTCGATACGGAGGTGGACCCTATCCATACGTGAAGATGAGACAAGAATTAATGTGGCTGAGGAAGTCAAGAAAAGAACGAGGAAACTAAAACATCTTAAAGACCCTCCAATCAGATCAATACGTCCCCTAGTTTTGACCTCATTGGATTTAGCTTTGCTATCCTGATAATTTGCCCACATGAAGCCGACGCCATACATGCTTCAAATGATCACCGACCAGCTGATAGATGACAAGTAAGTACGAAGTACTAGGTAGGTGATGGAAGCGCCAGTAGAACCCAGAACCGAAAACCGGAACAACGATAAATATCTACCTAGATCCTCTCTTCAATACTTGTTATCAAATCAAACAATCAAAATCTCAGATCTTGAGTTAACTGAATGCAGTTTATATACAGTTATAAGAAACTGATATTATCATAAACTATTGAAACCTGTGTTCTCAAGACACCTGGGCACCTGGCTCTTCGTAGGAGGAAAAACAGGCCGGAATTGACTACTAGTAAAGCCCTTGAATAATCCTATTGTTCCATTCTAATTCAGAGAATTAAATGTTTAAATACTTTTCTAATTGAAGATTGTTTGAGGATTTATTAGGTGTTATTAATTTTTGTATTTTTATTATCTATTGATTTATTATCCCCTAGAGTACTAGAGATAGGCTCCGAAAGTGGTTTATATAATATACCTTGAATAATAAAGTTTTATTGAATAGAATAAATATTTTAATGATTTTTTAGTTATATTATTTATAATATAGAATCTTGATTTCAAATTTCGATTTTTTATAATTTAAAAAAAAGTAAAGATTAAAAATCAGTATATATAATAATAGTCGAAATTTTGATATGATATAGAAATAATATTGATTAAATTTCATATTAAAGAATAAATATAAATATTAAATCAAATTCAAAAAAATCTAGTAGTTTAATTGGTTGATAAGATCCCTGTTAAGTGACGGAGCCCATCTCCGGCACTCTAGGAGATAGAATTTATTAGGGTGCTCAATTTTGGCCTCTTTTTTCTCCCAAGCAGAGCCTGGTCTATCGCTTTTTTCGTCCACATAGTGGCATTGAAGTGGCTACTACCTACTACCTACTACCTACTACCTCCAGCTATGTACTACTCTTCATCCTACCCTACTCGGTATGAATGCTTCGTGTAAAATGATTACTACCTTTGTACCGTAAGGTCTGGCTGGGTGTGTAAGTCTCAGCTCTTTTAAATGCAATGCTAGACTCAAAGCATAGATAGACAGGTATTATATTAATCTGTATCGTAGAGCAATGTATCTTTAGAGTTCCTGGGTACCTAGGCAGGTAATTTTATATGCCTACTTACCTCGTAGCATTTACACACACACAGAAACGAGTATATAATAACATAATATTTGAACATGAAAATTCATCAAACCGTATGATTCATATTGATGGCAGGTCTCTCTACCTACCTACCTAGCAAAGCATTATTTGATAGAGTCAGCAATAGAAAGAGAGAAAAAAGCATGTTTTAAGGCAAGAAGAAGCTAAGCCTTGAAAGAGACTTGATCGCAAAAGAGTGGCGCTAACCTGGAAGTTCTATTGAGGCGCAATCAACCTTCAGCTTTATTTTCTATTCCAGAACTTCGACTACTTCTTGTTCATCCATCAGATCCATTGCAGTGTACGCAGGAAAGTCAGCAGCTCCCAGTGCTCTACATTCGGTTTTCTCAACTCATCAATTCCACCACTTTCTCGATTTGTGAACCTGTATCATTTATTATCTTTATCTACTTGAATGTTATCCAGCCTGTCTGATTATGTTCAGCGAGATAGCAGCCCTCGTAGCCCTGGATAATTACGTCGTTTAACACCGTTTGCGATTTAATTCATTATACCCAAATTCAATATATGATCGAATCGCTAAAGTCGTAGGTTCATCATGTCAATTGCAAAGCGTGAGGCGATCGTTTCTAATTCTCTACAGAAGCCTTATGATCCAGCAGAAATCCCAGCCTCGCAACAATTTACAATCCGGTAGTGAAGAAAGACTCGACATGAGAGCTTGATTACATCACGAGCGTTATCAAGATCGCGAATCAAGAATCAGTGAATTAAAGCGTCAATTTTTGACCCATTATAAATAATATCGAGTTCATGGCCTCAGAGCAAGAAACAATTTCCGCGACCGTACCAGGTTTTGCCGCGAACTTATCAGACCCCGCCACTAAATCTTCTCCTGCAACTTCAAGTCATCCCGAATCCGACAATACTAGACCAAGGTCTTTAAAACGAAGTCGGGCAGATCAAACACAACCTCCGACGACAAGTCTTACCTCAATCGCGAACGCGGGGCTGGTTGTTTCGCCTGCAAAAGCACCGCGATTCGGCGGCACATTCTCGCCCGTGTTTCCTGCTGCGCCGCTCACCGGGGCAGCGGCCTTTGAAGACGAACGACGGAAGAAGGAAGAAGCGCAGAAAAGTCAAATCGGCGCCATGAGCAAGAATCCCGGTCATGAGGCTATCGCGTCTCTTTTAGGCGGAGGAGGAGTTAGCGTGAGCAGACCGCAAGACGCTCCCATAGCTGCAACCACGATAAGTGAAGGCATGTCCGCAGCCGCAAATGCACTGACAATTCCAACCACAATGCCATTCGACGAAAGGACTGAAACCAGCCCAGCGAGCGTGGCAAGCCTTGCAAGCTTGGGTAGCACGGCTCAAACTGCAACTGCGAGTCCTACAATTGTCGCTAGTCCGGCTGCTATGACAAATTCTTTAGAGGCTGATGGTCGAGATGCGCGACCAGGTCTTAGTCAGCTTCAAGCTGCCATGGATGAGCAGCCCTCAAACAAATCTATGTCGTTCCCAGGCAATTTGGCACAGATGGATCCTTCACAATACCCTTCTCGAGGGATGAGCTTACCTATGCCCAATCAAAACCAGCAACTCCTACCAAGGTCGCCTTCTCAAAAGAAACATAAATGTCCTTACTGCGAGACTGAGTTCACTCGACACCACAATCTGAAAAGTCACCTCCTGACACATAGTCAAGAAAAGCCTTACGTGTGCCAAACTTGCCAAATGAGGTTTCGTAGGTTACACGATTTGAAGCGCCACATGAAATTACATACAGGAGAGCGCCCTCATATTTGCCCAAAATGTGATCGAAAATTCGCGCGCGGTGATGCACTTGCTCGTCATAGCAAAGGCCTCGGCGGTTGCGCCGGAAGAAGGGCGAGCATGGGAAGCTTCGGAGGGGACGACGAATTTGATGGAGCTAATGTAGGGGAAGCTGATGATAATGGAATGGACGGAATAATGTATACGAATGGCAATCCCCATCCCAACGAAGTAGAAATGTCTGAAGAAGACGGGCGACGGTTTAGTCTGCCTAGTATCAAAGCACAGCATGTGGCTGGTAACACTGGTAGCCAAGATAGTTACGGCTCTCACTCACGTACTCCAAGCACCTATCCTCCTGCTGGGCAGAGACAAAATGCTCCCACAGGTCTTTATCCGCCCGGTACGGATCGCGTAGGTTCTTCTAGTTCCGCTACATCACCTAGCATGC